AAAAAAAACAAACAAAATCGCTAAACATTTTCAATGAATAGTTTATGAACCATAAATATTACCATAAAAATAGACGACTTAAAAAAAGGAACTAGTGTAAATGGTAAAAAATATTTGCAGCAAACCTAAGTAAGTATTTAAAGTAAAAAAAAAAAAAACAAAGAAACCCTCTCAACTGCTAAATACACCAGACCAGTCATCGAATCGAAAAGACAGTCAAGTAAATTAAAAAAAAAAAAAAAAAAAGCAAGCACCAACTACTTAAAAGACAACAAAAGTTGTACAACTACAGAAGTAGAACTACATAAGTACTTAACAGTTAAAGTTTAGTAACAAAAAACTACCAAAACCAGCAACTTCGCAAACAGCGCAGAGCAAAAAAAAAGCACAAGACAGCAAAAATGGCCGACAAGAAGATTGCAGAACAATACTATTCGCCACCGCCAAAGATGGGCAAATGGGAGGGTTTCAAAAAATTCCTATGGAACAGTGAAACTAGCCAATGCCTTGGCCGAACAGGAGGCAGTTGGGGTGAGTACGAAGAGAAGAAATTTATTTTAAAATCTAGCTTATGTGCATAAAATACTTTACCTAGATGTTATACCATCTACATACAAATTAGTTTGAGCCTAAGTTTATAAAAGGATTCATACTATTAAGGGTTATAAATACATACATGTGTATATATGTATGTACCTAATGTAATGTAATGTAATGTAATGTATTTTATTTTTATTTTTTTTTATGTAACAAAAAAGGGGCCTAGAAGAACTTGTGTATCCCTATGGCTCCTACTCCCTATGCAGTCACTGCAGTTACAAATAAGTCAGAGAACACAAAAGCTATTTTTTTAAATTTTAAAATTTTATAAAAAAAACAAATTCGAGCTTTAAAATTTGGTGCAAAAAAAAATTTTTGCCACAACTCATGACCACAGTATGTAAATATATGTATGTACATCGTTCATCGAAAACTGTTCTTATTGAAATTATTATTGTTTGAATTAGCAAAAAAATCAAAAGCTTCGAATTTTTTTTTTGAACTTAATTAAATTAAATTTTTTTTAGCGATATCTGCAAACTACATGTTAAGAACAAAAACAGAAAAGCAAAAAGTGATTCATTTTCTGTTTTAGAAAAATGCTATTTACAATAAAAATACTTCGTATAAAAGTAATTAGAAAATTTGGCAGCTTTAACGTTCACTAGAAGCTAGGGAACGTTTTAGTAAGGAATTTTCTGGGCTTTTCAACGTTGATTTCTTTTATCGCTATAAAAACCATAAAAAAAAAAATATTTTAAATATTTACAATAAATTTTCATAGCAATTACAGCAATTAATAAAAATGTTAGTACTGCTCGAAATTTCTGTCAGATTCCCTGACAGATATAAATTCTACCTATCAATTAGGCATTAAAAAGCAATAAAAAAAAGGAACAGTCCAGCGCCTTCGTCTTGGCCTGCAGGCTGTATCGGAGATACAGCCGCTAAATTTAAACGTAGAATACGTGGTATGGTTAAGAGCATATCCAAGTAAAAAAACAAAAGCACACACTAAGCAAAGAATATCGATAACAAAAGCGATAATAATATCGGTAGCAAAATCGATAAAAACATCGATAAAGAAATCGATGAAAATATTGATATCAAAATCGAAAAAATATCGAAAGCAAAAACGATAGCAAAATCGATAACAATACTGATTACAAAATCGATTACAAAATCTATCAAAATATCGATTACAAAATCGATAACAAAGTCGATAACAAAATCGATTATAAAGTCGATAACAAAACCCATAACAAAATCCATAAAAATATCGATACCAATATCGATAGCAACATCAATAAAAATATCGAATATAAAACCTATAAAAAAATCTATAACAATATCGATAGCAAAATCGATAAAAATATCGGTAACAAAACCGATAAAAGTATCGATGACAAAATCGACAGCAAAATCGATTACACA